CCACAACCACACATGCAGGGTGATTGGCCCAGTTCAAGAGGTCCAAATCAATTGTCCCAGTTAGCACCAGTCTCAGGTGGGAGAGTTCAAAAGGTCTCCGGCAACTAGATTGCTGTCTGCTAGCAGCTCAAGTATGACTCACTCCAGTGCTCTGTGAGGTCAGAAGGACCCACCTAGTAAATAAATTAGTTTGGGAAGGTTGATGCCTACTTCCCCTACTTCCCCTACTTCCCCACCTTGCACCTCTGTCACACCCAGTCACTGGTAACCCTACAGGGCTGTGACCTAGTTCCCTCCAATGAGCAGATGCTCAGGGGTTTGTGCCTGCCTGAGTCACAGGGAGATCTATGTTTCCTCGGCCAGGCCGCTGCTCTGCCACTATCTGGCAGGGGGAGCTGAGGCCTCACAACCTTGGGTGCTTAATGGAAGCTTGGGGCGGTTCACTCAGTTCCAGCCCCGTCCATGATTGATGTTGCTGACAGAACAGAACTATTACGCAGAATTTGTTTCTGTCCCGGCTATATTCCCCTATAGGGCAGATGCTGTTTGAGTTCACAGAAACTGCAACTCAGCCCTGGTCTGCTATTGTCTGGATCTGGCATGTCTGTCTCGGCTGCATTCTGTGTTGGAGTGGGCATGGTTAGAGCTTATACTCAGCTTTCAGTTCCAGCCTCTGCCTGCCTGCCTTTGTTTTAACTATGATTCCCAGAGGGCCGGATGCTTTTAGGTTCACTAAAGCAGTCCTTCTGGCTCAGCCCCGTCCTGTGAATATGCTGACTCTGAGTGCGTCCCCGCCATGCCCCACCCAGGCAGGTACTGCCTCAGGCATACCCTTTACTCATTGGGCCTGTGTTTCCATCCCAGATCTGTTCCAGCAGTGGCTGCCACTAGAGAAGATGTCTGGCTTCCTCTGGTTGCCCAGAGAGGCAAGGAATGTCTCTCCAAAATATCCTCAGGGGTGTGAGCCCTATTATTCCCTCTGCTGCCGCTGCTGCTCTGTGCCATGGGGCACCACTCCTCCCTCTTTCCTATGGTTCCCTCAGTTCACTGTCTCTAGTTACTCCTGGGCTGCAGAATCAGCACAGACCATTAACAGCCCACCACCCCCTGTCCACACCTCTTGAGAAAATGTACAAGAATCTGGATTCCATGGGGAACAGGCCTCCAGACCTCGGGATAAAAGTTGAGGGGAGTGCTGGGAGTTCAGAATTGCAGGCAGAGAATATATACACCCTTTCCTGGCGGGAGAGAGCCATGGCACATGCGTAAGTCCTCTCTAGGGAAGCAGTTCTGGTTTTTAGAGGGTTTCTCCTGTGGGATAAAATAGGAGGGGATCTGAACTTTGCTCGCTTGTTTGTATAGAGCATACTGTGAGCTATTCTCATGGGGGAGGGTACTCCTGTCTGCCTGGCGATGGATTTTGTACTTATTGTTTATTTCCTTGAGCTTGCAGCTCACCTCAGCAGGGTTTATGTGCCTTCTTCAACCTCTCTTGGCTCAGCTCCATACCATTGGCTTACTTGCTAAACTTCTGTCCTTTAACACTTCTTTTGGATGGGAGTCTCTATGAAAGTTGGCTCCAGTTGGTCATCTTCTCATTGCAGTTTTGATTTGCATTTCCCTTTTAACTGATCATACATCTTTTCATTTGATTTTTTTTTTTTTTTTTGAGACGGAGCCTCAAGTTATCCCCCTGGGTAGAGTGCCATGGCATCACGCTCACAGCAACCTCCAACTTCCTGGCTCAAGCGAGTCTCCTGCCTCAGCCTCCCAAGTAGCTGGGACCACAGGCACCTGCCACAGCGCCCAGCCATTTTTTGGTTGCAGCCATCATTGTTGTTTGGCCGCCCGGGCTGGGGATTCGAACCCGCCACCTTAGGTGTATGTGGCTGGCGCCTTTTTTCATTTGATTTTTGACCTTTTGTATATTTTCTTTAAAAAAGATGTGCTTAAGTTTTTTACCCATTTTTAAATTGGGTTGTTTATCTCACTGTAGGAGTTCTTTGTATATTTTGGACACTAGAACCTTACCATATGTATAATTTGAAAATCTTTTCCCCATTTTAATGGGTTGTCTTTTTATTTCATTGATAATGTCCTTTGTGTACAAAAGTTTTAAAATTTAATGATTTAATGAAATTCAGTTTATCTGTGTATTCTTTTGCTATTTGTGTTTTGGTGTCATACTTAAGAAAATGCAAAATATATTTTCATGACTATTTTCCTCTATGCTTTCTTCTAAGAGTTTATAGCTTATGTGTGTAAGTTTAGGTCTTTGACACTTTATGAATTAAGTTTTATATATGAGGTAATGGTTTGACTTAAGTCTTTTGCATATAGATACCCATTTTTTGCAGATGATCCTTTTCCTTTTTTTTGAGACAGAGCCTCAAGCTGTCCCCCTGGGTAGAGTGCCGTGGCATTACAGCTCACAGCAACCTCCAACTCCTGGGCTCAAGCGAGTCTCCTGCCTCCGCCTCCCAAGTTGCTGGGAACACAGGCGCCCGCCACAATGCCCGGCTCTTTTTTGGTTGCAGCTGTCATTGTTGTTTGGTGGGTCCGGGCTGGGGATTCGAACCTGCCACCTTAGGTGTACGTGGCTGGCGCCTTAGCCGGTTGAGCTATAGGTGCCAAGCCAGATGATCCTTTTCCTATTGAATAGTGTTAGCATTTTCATCCAAAGTCATTATCCATTTATGTTTCATTGGTCTATGCTACTGATAGTATAGTATATCCTTATCTTAGAACTCCACTGTTTTGATTACTATGGCTTTGTAGTTACTTTTAATAAAATTAGGAAATGTGAGTCTTCCAATATTTTTCTTCTTTTTCAAGATTATTTGGGCTGTTAAACTTCCGTATGAACACATTTTAGGGTAGGTTTTTCTGTTTCTGGAAAAAATGGCATTAGTATTTTGATAAGAATTACACTGAATCTGTAGGTTAATTTGGAGAGTATTAACATCTTGGTAATATTAAGTCATCTAATCCATGAACAAAAGATATCTTTCCATTTATTTAGGTCTTTAATTTTTTTCAGCACTATTTTCTCCTCCCCCCCCCACAAGGATAGTTGTTATTTTTTTATTTCTTTAAATATTTATTTATTTATTTAGAGACTGAGTTGCCCTGGGTAGAGTGCCATGGCATCATGATAGCTCACAGTAACCTCAAACTTTAGGGCTTAAGTAATCTTCTTCCCTCAGCCTCCTGAATAGCTGGGACTGCAAGCTGCAGCCACAATTCTTGGTTAGTTTTTCTATTTTTAGTAGAGATAGAGTCTTGCTTTTTGTAGGCTGGTCTTGAACTTCTGAGCTCAGGTAATCCCCTGGCCTCGGCCTCCTACAGTGCAAGGATTACAGGTGTGAGCCATTGTTCCTGATCCTGTTTAATTTTTTTTTAATTTTAGAGACAAGGTCTTGCTATGCTGCCTAGGCTGGACTTGAACTTTTTTTTGTTTTTGAGATAGAGTCTCATTATGTCATCCTTGGCAGAGTGCTGTAGCGTCACAGCTCATAGCAACCTCAAATTCCTGGACTTAAGTGATTTCTCTTGCCTCAGCCTCCCAATTATCTGGGACTACAGGCACCCTCCACAATGCCTGGCTGTTTTTTGGTTGCATTTGTCATTGTTTAGCTGGCCTGGGCCAGATTTGAACCCGTCAGCCTGCGTGTATGTGGCCGGCGCCCTACCTACTGAGCTACTACCCAGGTCTTGGACTCTTGAGCTCAAGTAATACACTTACCTCAGCCTCCTCAGTAGCTGCAACCATAGGCATTCACCCCTGTACCTGGCTTGTTTTGTAGTTTTTAAGTATACAACTGTTTACCACTTTGGTTAAATTTCACCCTAAGTATTTTATTATTTTTGTTGCTATTGTAAATGGAATTATTTTCTTAATTTTCCAGAATGTTTGTTGCTAGTGTATAGAAATACAATTGATTTTTGTGTGTTGATTTTATATTTTCACCTTTGCTTAATTTGTTTATTAGACCTGGCTTGTGTGGGGGGGGTTTAGATCCTTTAGGATTTTGTACATATAAGAGCATGTCATCAAAGATAGCTTAATTTCTTTCTTTCTGGTTGGGTTGCCCTTCCTTCTTTTTCTCCTTCCCTTTTTTTCCCTTTCTTCCTTCTTCCCTCTTTCCTTGTTTCATCGTTCCCTTACTTCCTTTTCTCTCTACAGGGGTCCTCAAACTTTTTAAACAGGGGGCCAGTTCACTGTCCCTCAGACCCTTGGAGGGCCAGACTGCAGGTCCCGGGACAAGTCGGCTGCTAAGCAGGACAGGCACCAGTGGCAAAAACACCTGGCGGGCCGGATAAATATCCTCGGTGGGCTGCATGTGGCCCATGGGCCGTAGTTTGAGGATGCCTGGTCTAGAATGTCCAGTACTATGTTGTATAAGAGTAGCAAAAGTGCACATCCTTATCTTGTTGCTGATATTAGCAGAAAAGTTTTCAGTCTTACCTCATTGAATATGATGTCAGCTGTAGGTTTTTCATATGTGGCCATTATCATGTTGAGGAATTTCCCTTCTGTTCCTAATTTATTTAGTGTTTTTATCACAAAATGGTGTTAGATTTTAAATCAGACATGGAGATTGGCATGAGCTAGGCTGATGCAACTGTACTCTAGCCTGGGTGAAAGTCTGGTGAGACTCTGTCTTAAAAAAGGAAATGCCAGTGTTATACCAACATTAGTTGATATTCCTGTTTGATCATTAATTGCTAAACATTTAGTACTAGACATCTTATTAGATACTTTATTTATACATTTTTAGTAATATTTTTGTAAAATAAGTATTTTCTGGTATTTGTATATGTGTATGTGTGTGTGTGTTTCTTAAAGAAGATGAAACCAAAGCTTACAGATGTTTTAACAATTTTCCTGAGGTAGAAATAGGCTGTCTAACTCAATCCCTTGCTGATAGCCATTGTAGCACACTGGCTCTCATCTGAGTTACAATGTCTGATTTAAAGGCCTTTTTCTCATTCTTAAGGAGTCACATGCCATTGGAAAAAAGCCTGAAAATCCAGCAGACATGATTGAAGAAGGCGAGCTAATCCTATCTGTGAATATTTTATACCCTGTTATATTTCATAAGGTCAGTAGTAAAACCTTTTGGATTTCATGGATCATCTGAGTAACTTTTGTCAAAGGGTTTTGTGATTTGAAGAGTCACATTCCTATGCTTGCATTTAGAATAAATGCAGGCCATGTTGCCTATCTGATATCTCATTTTTAGAGCTGGCAGTTTGTATTCTTGGGTTCTTTTAATAGGGAATATTGAAAATATCAAATTATAAATACTCTCTTGATCAGTAGGATTACACTTATAATTTTGGAATGTATATCTGATTTTTGCACTAGAGGTAACTGGAAGTATACATAGCTCCATAATAATTCCAATTCTAGGAATTCTTTTTTTTTTTTTTGAGACAGAGCCTCAAGCTGTCCCCCTGGGCAGAGTGCCATGGCATTACAGCTCACAGCAACCTCCAACTCCTGGGCTCAAGCGAGTCTCCTGCCTCTGCCTCCCAAGTAGCTGGGACCACAGGCGCCCGCCACAACGCCCGGCTATTTTTTGGTTGTAGCCGTCATTGTTGTTTGGCGGGTCCGGGCTGGGGATTCGAACCCGCCACCTTAGGTGTACATGGCTGGCGCCTTAGCCGGTTGAGCCACAGGCACCAGGCCAATTCTAGGAATTCTTAAGGGTTTTGCGCAGAATAGTTGGCTAGTGAAGTAGAGAGTAACCTTTGTTCATGAATTCAGAATACTTGGCAAGTTACTGAACTAACTAAGACAGCTCTTCTATGATGAAAATATGAAAAGTTAACAAGTCACGGATATACAGAAATTTTGCAGGAGTCTTTCTGTATCCAGGATATATATATTCCCCATACCCTAAATAGTTGCATCATAAACTCTGATGTGGTTTAATTGAAATACTACTATACATCAATCACATTTATGCATAAATAGGTGTTTATAAAATATCTGGAATGTAATTATACTAATAACTTTGTTTGATTAAATTTTCAAATTACTGGTAAAGGAAAAAAAAAACCCAAAACAAAAAAATGAGTCTTAGGGTTTATCACCTGAGATTAGGGTATAAATTGCCTGACTTCATTAAGGTAATATTTAGGAAATTTTAAAAGACCCTGCTGTTCTATGAAGTTTTTTATTCTAAAGAGTCTCACTGCTAATCTCAGTTTGGTAGGATCTTGATTATAAATTTTAGCTTAAACTAGAAAAGTTCTCTTGTCAAGTATCTGAATTATACCAAGGGATTTTAGTTTATGGAAGTGACCAAGTGATAACAGAGAGGTCAGTACCATTAAAAGATCTTTATTATATTTTCTTTTTCTTTTTTTTTTTGAGACATAGTCTCACTCTGTTGCCCAGGCTAGAGTGCCATGGCATCATCCCAGCTCACAGCAAGCTCAAACTCCTAGGCTCAAGTGATCCTCCTGCCTAACCCCCACTCCCACCCCCACCCCTAGTAGCTGGGACTATAGGCTCCTGCTACAATATCCAACTGGGGGTATTTCTATTTTCTATTTTGGGTTTTTTTGTTTTGTTTTGTTTTTTTTAAATAGAGTCTCAATATGTCACCCCTGGTAGAGTGCCATAGTGTCACAGCTCACAGCAACCTCAAACTCTTGGACTAAAGCAATTCTCTTGCCTCAGCCTCCCAAGTACCTAGAACTACAGGCACTCACCACAATGCCTAGCTATTTTTTTTGGTTGTTGTAGTTGTCATAGTTGTTTAGCAGGCCCTGGGCTGGGTTCGAACCTGCTAGCCCCAGTCTATGTGGCTGGTGCCCTAGCCGCTAAGCTATAGGTGCTGAGTCTGGCTTTTCTATTTATTAGTATAGATAGGGTCTTGCTCTTGCTCAGGCTGGTCTTAAACTTCTGAGCTCAAGCAGTCAACCTGCCTTGGCCTCTCAGAGTGCTAGGATTATAGGCGTGAGCCACTGTGCCTGGCCTTTATTACATTTCTTGGTGTGGGGGGGGTGCATGCCACACAGGGCCGTAGAGAAAAGTACTGTTTTTCGCTAGGAGGCTGAAAGAGAGGGGAATGCATAGAGCCCAGTTTTTATTGGGCTTTCTGTAGAAAGGCAAGGCAGGGGTAGTAAACAATTTAGGTTTAGCTAGTTTGAATAATTTCAGCATCATTGGGGCATAAGAGGTAGTCCCTTATTGCCTGATACCTGGTCCTGGGTTGATTCAGTTTGATGGGGTTGCAGGGGAAATACTGGCTTGGTGTGTAAGAGTTAGATAATAAGGTGGTTTCAGAGATTGGGCTCTGGATCATAGGGGAGACAAATAATTTTGACATTAATTTGGCCCTGTAAATAATGCATATGAAATAGACAAATATTAAATCTAAGAAAACACAGAACCAAGTTATGGGGATGATATCAGTTTAAGAAAACCACTAACTTAATTTAGATTTGATTGTGCTAGGATTTGTGGTTTTATTGGTTTGTCTCTAAGTAGATATTTATTTACTATTTGACTTTTAGCACAAAGAACACAAACCACACCAGACAATGCTGGTGTTGGGCAGTCAAAAGCTCACAGAACTGAGAGATTCAATTCGCTGTGTCAGTGACCTCCAGATTGGTGGGGAATTCAGCAACACTCCTGACCAAGCCCCCGAGCACATCAGCAAAGTAAGATGATTTTCCTCCCATAAAACAACAAGAATTAATGATAATAAGCTAAGGGAATAATGATTACTCTAGCAGGCTCATAAACATCCCAGTAAATGCTTTCTCATCCCATGCGATTCCATTAAGCTACTACTCTCTTTCCTTCCCTTATCAGAACTTTTCCAAAGAGAAGGCCATTTATACTCTGTTTTGATTTCTTTGTCGTTCATTTATTTCTAAGTCATTCTTTGGACACTTTCTAAGATAATAGTGACCACTTAATTGTCTAAACCAGTGGTTCTCAACCTCTGGGTCGCCTTTGGAGGTTGAATGACCCTTTCACAGGGGTTGCCTAAATACATCCTGCATATCAGATATTTACATTATGATTCATAACAGTAGCAAAATTAGAGTTATGAAGTAGCAATGAAAATAATTTTATGGTTGGGGGTTAGTACAACATGAGGAACTGTATTAAAGGGTCGTGGCATTAGCAAGGTTGAGAACCACTGGTTTAAACATTTTTCCATTTTCCTACAACTTGATCTTGGTGTAGCATTTGACTTTGCTGTTTATATGCTCTTGTTTTAAACTCTTTGGGAGCTTCAGTTTGTCATAGTTGCCCCCAGCGAAAGGATAGGAACTGAGAGCCTCAGTGTCAATGTGTTGTGATTTTTTTTTTTTTTTTAAGATCAGAAACATGGTCCCACATGATTTAATGTCTAACCTATTTACCATTTGTACATCACTCAGATTAGTCTATTTTTTTTGTCAATAAGCTCTTAAGGGTTTGTTTTTTTGTTTGTTTTTTTTTTGAGACAGAGCCTTAAGCTTTCACTCTGGGTAGAGTGCTATGGCATCACAGCTCACAGCAACCTCTAACTCCTGGGCTCAAGCGAGTCTCCTGCCT